AGGTTGATTGGTGTATAAATTATCTGTAAATCTGGTTTGGGGCTGGGAACTGGTGAGTGTAACTTCCACCTACTCTGCTGCCATCTTGGAAAATCTGATAATACCTTTTATAAAACCAGAAACCTGACATTGGCACAATCCCCGGATTTCATTTGTTTTAAATGTACCCATTTGTGTGGGGGGGTTGGGGGGCTGGGGGGTTGTTTCTGTCCATTTCATCACATGTACAAATTTGTGTAATCACACCATAATCAAGAACGGTTCCATCACCACAAAGGTCTTCCTCCTGCTACCCCCCACTTTTTTCCCCCATCTCTAACCCCGGCAACCACTAATCTATTTTTCATCTCTCTAATGTTATCATTTTGATAGTCACATAAAATAAAGGATGATAGATTTAAAGGTAAAACTATTATTTTAGTTGTTTTAGTAGATGTGTAATAATGTAACTATGGTTTAATTTGCATTTTCTTAATTGTTAATCGTGTTGAACACAAGAAATATCCTCTGCTGAAATGTATGTTGATGTCTTTTGCCTGCTTTCTAAGTCAGCAATTTTCAACTCGTGTGCCACAAGAATTTTTAAAATATCAATACCTATTTATTTTGTCAGGGGCACTGACCTCTTTGCCCTTAGATTGTCTAATAAAAAATGGCAACAGCCAACACAACAATAGCCGTCCAGCGAGAATGAATCAAAATTATACCTATTTTGCCCTGGCTGGTGTGGCTCAGTGTTTGGAGCATCAGCCTGTGCACTAAAGGGTCTCAGGTTCAGTCCCTGGCCCCGGTCCAGGTGTGTGTGGGAGGCCACCAATTGATGTGTCTCTCACTGATTTTTCTCTTTCTCTCTCCCCCTCCCTTCCACTCTCTCTAAAAATCAATGGAAAAAAATAACCTTGAGTGAGGATTAACAAAAAACAACAAAAAATTATACCTAATTTCTTTGTCAGATTGGCAAAAAATATTTTTTTTGGTGTGCCACAGAATTTTAATAGTTTGTGTGCCATGAGATGAAAAAAGTTGAAAATTGCTACTCTAAGTGGAATGTTTGTTGAGTTTTGAGAGTTCTTTATATACCTGAGATATGAGTCCCTTGTCAGATATGTGATTTGCAAATTGTTTTAATTTTTTATGGAGTCTAGTTTATTGATTTTTTGGGGGGGATTGTGTCTTTGGTGTCATGTGTAAGAACTCTTCAGCTAGCCCTACATCCTAGTGAAGAGTTTTACTTGTTTTCTTCTAAAAGTTTTCTAGCTTTATGTTTTACCTTTAAATCTGTGGTCCTTTATTTTTATTTTTAATTGAATTTATTGAGATGACAGTGGTTAATAAAATTATAGGTTTCAGATGTACAATTTTATAATACATCATCTGTATATTGCATTGCGTGTTTACTACACCAATTCAAGTCTCCTTCCATCACCATGGATCCCCGCCCCCACTTTCTTCTATCTCCCTCACTCCCTTTCCCCTCTGTATGATCCATTTTGAGTTCATTTTTGTACGAAGTGTAAGGTTTAGTTAGATTCTTTTTTTTCTTCTGCTATGGAAATCCAATTACCCCAATATTATTTGTTGAAGACTATCCTTCATCAAATGTTCAAAAATTAGTTGGCCATTCTTTCATGGGTCTGTTACTGGGTTCTTTTCTCTGTTCCATTCATCTACTTGCCTACTCCTCTGCCAAAACACATTAACTCAGCTCTACAGTAAATCTTAAAATCAAGTAGCGTGATTTAAAAAAAAAAGTTTTTATTGATTTCAGAGAGAAGAAGGGAGAGGGAGAGAGAGAGAGAAGCATCAATGATGAGAGAGTCATTGATCGGCTGCCTCCTGCACGCCCCTTACTGGGGATCCAGCCCACAACCTGGGCACGTGCCCTGGCCTGGAATTGAGCTGCGATCTCCTGGATCCTAGGTTGAGGCTCAACTGCTGAGCCACGTGGACTGGGCTAGAGTGATTCTTCATGCTTTATTCTTGTTTTTCAAAATTGTCTTACTTACTCTGGTTTCTTTACCTTTTTATATAAATTTAAAAATAGGTATGCTTGTATCTGAAAAAACCGACTCTGCTAAAATTTTGATAGGAATTGCATTAAACCTACAGATCAATTTGGGAAGAAATGACATCTTTACTATGTTGAGTCTTCCAATCAAAGAACATGACATATGTTTATTTATGTAGTTGTTTGATTTCTTTCAGCAGTGTTTTGTCGTTTTCAACATATAGTAGTCCCCCCTTTCCCATGGTTTCATTTTCTGTGATTTCAGTTACCCAGTGATCAACTGTGGTCTGAAAATAGTAAATGGAAGATTCATAAATAAACAATTTATAAGTTTTAAATTGCTAGCTGCTCTGAATAGCATGATACAGTCTCTCACCATCCCACTCTGTCCAACCTCTGTCCCACCTGGGATGTGAATCATCCCTTTGTCCATCATATCCATGCTATCTATGCTCCCCATGGTATGGCAGTGCTTGTGTTCAAAGTGCTTTTTTAAAAAAAAATTTTTTTTAATTAATAATGGCCCCAAAGCTCAAGAGTAGTGATTCTGGCAATTCAAATTTCCCCAAGAGAAGCCATAAAGTGTATGTATGCATGTATTTTAAAAAATTAAAATATATAAGGTTCAGTACTATTTGACATTTTAGGCATCCAGTGGCGGGTCTTAGAATGTATCCCCTACAGTCAAGAAGGAACTACTGTAGAAGTTTTGTAACATTTTGTTAGGTTTATACATGTTTCATTTTTCTTTTATTACAAATGGTATTGTTTTTCACTGTCCTTGTACTCAGTTAGTATATAGGAATACGATTAATTTTTGTGTATTGATCTTGTGTTCTATGACCTGATGAACTCATTTAGTTCTAGTGTTTTTTTGATAGATTTTTTGGGATTTTCTACAGATTTTCATCATGTCTACAAACAGGGAGCTTTATTCCTTTTCTTCCTTGTATGCCTAACTTTATTTCTTTTCTTGCTTTACTACGCTGGCTAGGACTTCCAGTATGATGCTGAGTGGGAGTGGTGAAAGATCAGAACATCTTTCATTGTTCTGATCTCAGCAGGGAGGCAGTTTTTCATACCAAGCAGAGGTTTTTATGTAGATGCTCTTTATCAAATTGAGGAAGTTGCCCTCTATTGCTAGCTTGCTGAGTTATCATGAATGAATTTGGGCATTTTTATTTTGCATCAATTGATATAATCATGTGATTTTTCTTTCCCAGTATTCTTTTCAGTATTTCTTGAACTACTGAAAAAAGCTGCGAGACTTCTTTACCTGACAATTTTCTCAGACCAGGGCCCAGGGAACTCAGTTGCTACCACCAGTCTAGTCTACCATGTCCCGTGTGCTACGGAGAATGTAACTTGAGCCCAACATGTGGCTAAATGGAAATACTGCCCATAGTATGTATCCACTCCCAGAGATTTACAACACGTCTGTGTGGTCAAGGCTCAGAAAAGCCCTGCAACTCAGGCTCCTGTTACCTTCAACTTGGGGTTCCCCAAACTTAATCAATTGGAGCCCCCTTTTCTTGGGGGGTACAAACCCCATCCTGTTCCCATAGGACTTCCTCTGAAACACACTTAGGACATCACTCAACTGATTCTGTCCCCAAAGGCTGACAGAGAAGTGCCCTGACCAAGGTTACAGACAGTGGCATCACAGATACAAGGCCCTAGGTCTCCTGACCCCAGCCCACTGTTCCTGCTCCAGACCATGCTGCTTCCTGCAGCACCATAGTCCGTATGGGTAAGAGGAATGCAACATCACCATCTGGTCCTGTTGGTGGTTCTCAGGCCCTTGTCTCCAGAGCCTGGGGATGAGGGCCTCCAGTTCATGTAGTCTCAGTGGGTCAGGTTAGGGTGGGCGGGTGTGTAACGCAGGCTGGGTAAATAACACTGCTGTAGCTCCACGACAGCAGCAAAGGGTTCAAGGATGGGTACACAACCCAAGTTTGAGTAATAAGACACCATCCCAGCAATTGTTAGAATTCGCAGGATAAATGATTTTCCCGTGTAGATTATGCTAAACTACAGAAAACTGAGCTAGAGCTACCACCACAGAAAGGACTCCTTGGAAACAAAGTTGTAAGATGAAGGGAGCCTTGACCCAGTCATGCTTGAAGAACCTACCTCCAGAACTTAAATGACAGACCAGTAAGTGATGCCTTCATCAAACCAGTTAAATGGAATCCTGTCACTTGTTAACAGACTCCTGCCTCATTTGTGTGTGAAGCAGAGTAAGTTATCGTTGAGACAGCTGGGCAGACCCTTCTATGTCAGGAGGTGCTCTTGAGAAGAACAATCTTCTCTGCCCACCTCAGCCCCACCCCGCCCCACTTCCCACCAAAAGAACACAGGCAGCCAAGGGCAGCTTGGGCAATACTTGATATACATCATACATTTATTAGTGAATATCCCTCTGAAATCAGCAACAATATTAAAAAAAATAATGATTGCACTACTTAGTCAAGCAGAACTAGCAACTTTCATTTTAAAAAAAGTACAAATCTGTTAAAAATTTCAATCAGTATACACATATATATAATACAACATACTAGTTATGTTAAATGCTACAAACCAATGTGAATCCAATGGAATGGAAAAAACCACACATTTAAGCTTTAAGAACCATTTTTTTTCTCTATATATTAGCATTTTCTCAAATACATACATGGGAAAAATGAGGTAACTGTAAAATGTGCAAGGAACAGGGCCCCCCAATTACATATATTTATATGTATATATATATGTATATGTAGTTACATATATATATAAAACCTTTCTAACACAGAACACAGGTGCTGGGCCCAGCCAGGCTGGGGGATGCTGCCCACTGACATGCCTAGGCCAGAAGTTGGTAAATAAGAGTAAACATTAACAAGCCCCCACCACAGGAAATCATTGGTAACATGGCATCTATAGCAAGGTCGGCAAATCACAAACATCCTAAATAATTGTTTTATAAATCTTTTTTTAAAATGATTTTTAAAATGTTGTTTCTCCTCCTGCCCCCCTCAACAGCTGCTCACTGGAACCATTGCTGCAGCCTACACAATCCGAGAGCCTGTTGCGCCTGCCCCAGGAACCGCCCCAGGAACTGGAGGGTTTTGGAAACCTTTTGTTGGGGTGGGGAAGGGAGGGGTCAGAGAGGATGGTTCTCTGTGTAAAACACGTGGGGTTTCAACGCTGCTATAAATATAGAAACATCACCTGGAGTTATATACAGTAAGACTTTGGGTTCTCCACGGGGGTGGGGCCAGGCTGATGGGGCCCCATGGCAGGCCGGGGGAGGCGGGAGCCAGGGCCGCTGCTGGGGAACGAGGGTGGTTGGAGCATCCCTGAGGCAGCAGGCGCCAGGGGCTGCCTGCTAGGATGTGCCGGCCCCACACGCGGTTCGTTCTGGGCAGCAACCCCAGCTGGGGGTAGGGCAGGACAGGACTAGAAAGGAGAGGGAGGGAAGCTCAGCCAGACCCTACAGGGAGCCTCCTCCAGACCTTGGAGGGCAGGGCTCAGGCTGGGAGGGGGCCCCTGGAGGTGAGGCCCACGCCCTCCCTGGTCCCTGTCCTCCTGGGACTTCCTTGGAGGAGACTCACCCAGGTGGATGGGAGACGGGCCCTGGCTGGAGAGGGAGAAATGCCCTGAAAAGCAAATGGTCCCGGTAGGCTCTGGGGACGTGTGCAGTACAGTGCATGGCAGTTATCAGCTGAGCACAGACCCCCTAACTCTGCTTGTGACCATCGGTCGCCCGGCCCAGCCCTGGCCGCGCACATGCATGTAGACCAGGTGGAACCACCAGACCATTCTCTGCCCCCTGGGCACTCATTCCTGGTTGGTCCCTAATACCCTCCATTTAACCAAAAGAAAAGTTGTTTAAAAATCCACACCCCCAAATCCTACACTCGATTTTGGGCCAAATGAATAAAGAAAAACTGCTACTCCTCATGTTCATGCAAAATGACAGAGGGAACATCGGGTGGGTCTAGATCCCATCACTGAAAGGGAGCAGTGGCCACCAGGACATAGGTTACTCTCTCTGGCATCGCCCAGGCCCCTCAGGATATGTGCCGCCCAGGCTCAGAGCCTGTCTCCGTCCTGTACAGGAGGCTGGCTGGCTCTGAGGCTCTCCAGCCTGGGGGTGTGGCTGGAATGTTGTGCCTGGGGTGAGAGTCCTCTAGGGAGCAAGGCCCACCCCTCACAGCAGGCTGGGTAGGGCTGGCTGCCTGAGTCTGACTGGGGCCAAGACCAGAGGACCCAGGCCTGGGTCTCAGGAAATGGCCTTATGCTATTGTCTGTCCATGCCTGTCAGTGCCACCTGGGAAGAGGGCATGCAATTTCAGTGCAAGAGACCAAGTGACCCAGGACTGTGCCCCTTTGTCCATCCTGGGGCCAAGGATCTCCACCAGCCACAATAAGAGAACAGACCCCGGGTTCCCAGTGCTGTCAGAAAAAGGAGACGCAACTGAGGGCAAATGGGACACTGAATTAGGGACACTCAGGCAGCTCCGTGGCGGGCGAATGGCAGGCAGACTGGGGATGGAGTCTTTGGAGCTTGGCAAATGCAGGGGCTTATTGCAGGGGCTTCTCTTGGGCCTGACCCTGGCACCAGCTCTGGAGATACAGGTGGGAAGGATGGGGTAGGCCTGGGCCACTCCTTCCCCATCCTCCCTGGGTCCCCCATCCCCTCCAAGTTTCCAGAGCTTCGGGCAGGGTTCCCATGGGCAACTGTAGGCCTCACTCAACTTCCCTGGGCACCTCGGAAGCGTCAGCACGGCAAATGGGACACGTCCGATTGGCCTGCAGGGGGAGCAGCTGCATATCAGACCCCACTCTTACCTGTCCCCCATCCCACCTGGGTCTGTTCTGCTGCCTGGTGGGGACACAGCCCCCTGAATTAGCCAGAACTTCTGGATGATGACAAGGATGAGAAGGGAAGCCCCCGAGCCCACACCCTCCTCCCTCACCACCTGAGGAACACCTGGGAGTGGCCTGGGCTGCATTACCTTCAACCACTTGTCCACACACTTGGTGTGGAACTCATGGTTGCAGGGGAGAACTCGGAGCAGCTGCCGCGCCTCAAAGTCGCTGAAGCAGACCACACACCTGGGAGGACGGCACAGAATGTCACCTCTGTGCTGATGGCTGACGGAAGCGTCACTGCAGAGCATGAG